ACGCGTTTCAGAAAGGCGGGGCATAGAGGAGAAACAATAATGTACAGTATGTGGAAAATAATGTGTTTTTTGAACCTTAAACCGCATAAACACATTTCATTACACCAAATACACAAAATAATGTTCTTTTTTAGCAACATCATATGACCCATTTAAGAGAAAAACAGTAACACAAGCACACACTAATATAATAATATTATTATTATTATTTTTATTATTATGTGTTAATATCTTAATAAAAGTATGTGTTGCATATACAGTACCTCAGAGCAGTGAGTCTAAGATGTTCGATTGATCTTTTTCAACTTTCTGAAGGTTTACTGGCACAATGGTGCACAGATCTCCTCTCCACATGATAAGGAGATCTTGCGTTGCATTGAGGAGAGTAGTGAACCCTGGCCCGGGTCCTGGAATGAGGACCTAGTTGAAAGCAGCCGCTTACGGAGAGACCCACTGGAGGACGTCTGCCGCTCGTACATGGAAGAGCTAAACACTATCTGCTTCCACAGGTGCAGTGTCTCACCTGTACTAAGAGAAAGTACTATTAGTCTTTATAAACTGTATACAAAACGAAACTGATGTAAACAAACCATTTTTGTTTTCCCAAGAAAAATCTTGATGTAGGGCTGGGCAATATGGTTAAAAAATTAAATCTCTTTTTTTTTTTTTTTTTCAGAACGTTTAACCGATTCTCGATTTTTACGATTTTTAGCTAGTCAACTTGAAAATGTAATTACAAGAAGATTCAAGTAACTTTTTCTTTATTAACCCTCTATTTAAAGAAAATTCTATTCCAAGTGCACCACACAAGAAGTTGTTAAAATGATGTAATTGTTAAACAAATCACAATTTTGCATTTGCATTGATTACAACTGCATCTTGTACAAACTTATAATAAAACAAGGAAAATGCTTTTAAAAAACTCTCAAAAGTCAAGGTAATTCAAATTCAAAATGACTGAAGGTACTAGAAAGTAGACTATTATTAACAGTAAATGTTCTGTAAAAACAATGAACAGCAGCTTTCAGCCTGTCACCATGATGCAAACATGAAATATCAGACATACAGTAGTAGTTCTTTACAGGTTTTTTATTCATTTGCGCTGCTTTTCCATTGTTTTTTTATGTAAACATGGATGTGTTTGACTGTTGCGCTTGTGTCTCTTGCAGTGTCTCGTGCATGAAACGGCATTCTAAAAACGCAGCACTCAAGTTAAAAGAAGTTCACTCACATCTTCTTGCATTTTTTCCTATTCCACTGCCCGCGTCTCATCTTTGTCAACACAAAAGTGCATTCTGTGTGAATGGCGCCTAGTGATATATTCTACTTATGGTCCTTCACAGAGCGCGTCACAAGTGGGCGGTTAATCGCGTGCGCCGACATGCGGTTGGATCATTCTTTTCTCTTTACTGTTATCAGTGGCATATTTTCAAAGTGTCTAATTCTAACGTTTGGTAATATTTCTATTCAAAATTGTGATGCCTCGACTTATAAAAAATTAAATCGTGGCAAAACATTAAATTTGAATTAATCGATAAAATTGGAAAAATCGCCCAGCCCTATCTTGAAATATGAAGTATTACTAAAAGCAGCATTTCGGTGCCATAAAGAACATTATAGGACATTGAGTGTCAAAAGGTTTTGTAGAATATAACATTTTATATCTATTACAAATAATTTTTTTGCACTGTGAATGCATATATAATACAATATCATACAAAACAATTTTTTGACCCTCCTCATTGCAGAGAGCTTAACACAATGTCTCCCCTGAAGTTTGTGCACTCATCTTTCCATGGTGTTGGTCACAACTATGTCCAGAGAGCCTTTCAGCAGTTTGGCTTTCCACCTCCCATCCCTGTTCCAGAACAGAAAGATCCAGATCCAGATTTTTCCACTGTCAGTTGTCCTAACCCAGAGGAAGGAGAATCAGTTTTGGTAAGTTTCTTTCTTTCTTTCTTTCTTTCTTTCTTTCTTTTCAACTGTAAAGTTTGTTGGAGGAGGGATAATGGTATAAGGCTGTTTTTTTGTGCTCAGCCCCTTAATTCCAGTGAAGGGAAGTCTAAATGGTTTAACATACCAACACATTTTGGACAATGCTATGCTTCTCTTTGTGGGAAGCGTTTGGAAAAGGCCTTTTTCTATTCCAGCAAGGTCCATAAAGACATGGTTGGATGAGTTTAGTGTGGAAAAACATGATTGGCCCGCATCGAACACCTTTGGGATGAACTGGAATGGAGATTGTGAGCCTGGCCTTCTTGCGCAACATTAATATCTGGCCCTCCATTTACTGGATGAATGGACAAAAATTCCCACAGAAACTACAAAATCTTATGGAAAGCCTTCTCAGAAGAGTGGACGCTGTTGTAGCTGCAAACGGAGGGCCGTGTCTGTGTATTTAGATTGTGTCCGTGTATTTATATAACCCCCTTGGTTACGGTGCAGTGGGGGGAAAAAAGTAATGCTGTACTAAGGCCCAATCCCATTTCTACCCCTTACCCCTACCCCTCCGTTTTGCGCGTTCACGTGAAGGGGTAGAGGTGTCTCGATTCTCTTTTGGTTGGAGGCGTAGGGGTAAGGGGAAGGGCCAGATAGCCCTTTAAACGAAGATTTTTCAGGATCACACTTCAAACGAAGGGGTATGATAATTATCTCAGCATACAGTGGCTACATGGCTGCCCGGGTAAACAAAAAGACCCATAAATGTAAGCATTTTTAGCATTAATAAAGTATTAATGAAAAAGTAATCATTTGTTTGATGTTACGTTCAATCATTACTATATTACGTTCAATATTACGGTCATGTTATTCAAATAATTTTTTTGCAAAAAAAAAAAAACGCTACATTTTGCTAACGTTAATAACGTTACTGACTGCACGATAGTGCCACAACATATTTTCATGTCTGATCAGGGCGATGACCACCATAGACTTTGAGGGGGGCTATTCACCCAAAAAATTAGAAATCGCTAAACCTTTTTCTCAAATATTGCCAATTCGAGAGAGAGAGATGGAAGTTGTGTATACGCGTGTCTGTGCATCTCTTTACAGTGAGTGATTTTACTTCAAAATCTGCAATTTTATCCTCTCATTGCTGGAAAATATAATGCAGCGATTCAGTATTTAAACTGTTATTAATAAAAATCGCGGGGCAACGTTGACAAGTTTCTTTGCTCCTGGATGTGTTAGCTGCGCAATCTCCGGTGCGTGTGTGTGTCAGTAAGCAGCGCATTAATATAGGTGTGTGTATTGTAGGAGCTACACGATGTATGATGACGTGTAACGGTGTAGTAGTGGTGTCACGTTTCTTAGGGAAATATTTTCACCCCTAACCCTTGACGGTCTGTTTCAAGGGACAAGGGGAAGGGGTATAAAATAGAATTGGGATTGGGCCTAAGTCATCATGCAGATATAACCACTGACTTGTGTTGCACTGACTACGTTTTAGGAACTGTCCCTTCGTTTGGCTGAGAGAGAAGAGGCCCGCATTGTTGTGGCCACAGACCCTGATGCTGATCGCTTGGCTGTTGCAGAGCAGAATGACAAGTAGGTTATCTTATGTTCATTAAAACCCTCAGCTGTAAAATGTAGCAGTATCAATTCTACTGAACAGTACTTCTGAACTCTTGAGTGAATCTTGTGGCGTATAACTTGTGTCCTATGTTTTATGGGCAGTTGTGGTTGGAAAGTGTTCACGGGAAACGAGTTGGCTGCATTGCTTGGCTGGTGGATGTTGTTTAACTGGAAAGAAGCACACCCTGACCCAGCAGATACGGAGAGAGTATACATGCTGGCCACCACTGTTTCTTCCAAAATACTTAAAGCCTTTGCACGCATAGAAGGCTTTCATTTTGAGGTTAGTTCAAGTCTCAATTTGAAGTTATTACTAAGACTCAAATACCTTGAGTGCTTTGTTATTCTTACATATAGATGAAGATTAGAAGATTTTGTTTGCTAAACAAAATACAAAGCCACTGCTTAATAGTTTAACTTCTTACTGAACTCTGGTATTTTTACTTCACTCCCCTTCATCCTAGGAAACATTGCCTGGCTTCAAATGGATTGGAAATAGAATCCATGAATTAACAAAAACAGGAAAGGAGGTCATTTTTTCCTTTGAAGAATCTATTGGTAAGTGCATTTATCTGCAGACACACCTGAAGTTCAACTATGTTAACAGCCCTGTTTATCTAAACTATCCCATGATATTTACAGAATAGTTCATCCAAAAATACAGAATACATCACACAATCCGTGCTGTGTTGAAGTTTAAAAGGGTTTGTATTTATCAATTTGAGTGTAAAAGCATATGTAGAAGAATGCTAACGTTGTGTCTTCGTCTTTATTTTGATGCCAGGGTTTTTGTGTGGGAACATGGTTCTTGATAAGGATGGAGTCAGTACAGCAGCTGTTGTGGCTGAGATGGCTGCTTATCTACACACCAAAAACCTTTCCATGAACCAACAACTAATCAACATCTATGAAATGTATCTCTTCTGCTACTTTTTTTTAAATATATATATATATATATATATATAAGTGTCTAATGATAATCCAATCCAATTTTTTTAGGTGTATACTGTACCATTGCATTCACATTTTACTTTGATCGTACAGTACGTGTTGATTTTTCTCTTCACTGTCATACCCCAGATATGGCTATCACATTTCCAGAACATCCTATGTCATCTGCAATGACCCACCAACTATTCATAGAATATTTAGCCGTCTGCGCAATTCTGGGGGTTCAGGTGTTTACCCAGAATCATGTGGTGACTACTGCATCACACACATCAGAGATGTGACCACTGGTTATGACAGCAGTCAGCCTGACAAAAAATGTGTATGTCAAAGCAGTTCTTTTGTATATTTCTTGATTGATGAAAAACGGTTTGACAGGAATAAATGTTCTTTTAATATCTCCTTTAGGTCCTTCCGTTGTCAAGAAATAGCCAAATGGTCACATTCACATTTCAGAATGGCATTGTTGCAACACTTAGGACCAGCGGCACTGAGCCAAAGATCAAGTATTACACAGAATTCTGTGCAGCACCAGGAGAACGGTTTGTATCTTCTATTAAAGATTTCAAATGAATGATATTGTTGAACATGCATTCACTACTTTTGTGATCAGTTCATTAAACATCATTCCAAAAATGGCTCAGAATATTGACAGTGGTTTTGAGAAAGCCATTTATGTGTGGCTTAAAGGAACACTCCACTGAAATGACCAAAGAGTTTCTATATTTTTCCTATTTAAAACTTGACTCTTCTGTAGTTACATCGTGTATTAAGACCGACGGAAAATGAAAAGTTGCGATGATATTACGCAGCGCCTGAAAATAGGCTTATTTGAAGTTACATAGCTGGGGACTATTTTCAGGCGCTGCGTAATATCATTGCGCCTGCTGCACCCATGGTACGGCAGCAAAGTTCCTTGATTATTACGCCGGAATAATAATAAGAGTATAGTTCCTAGCCATATCGGCCTAGAAAATCGCAACTTTTCATTTTCCGTCGGTCTTAGTACACGATGTAACTACAGAAGAGTCAAGTTTTAAATAGGAAAAATATAGAAACTCGCTAACGGTCTAATCAGATTCAATGATCTATGCTAAGCTAAGCTAAAAGTGCTACCGCCAGCCCTGGAGATCGGCTGAATGGATTCGAAAACGGTAAAACTCGACTGTTTAACTCTAGGGGAGTTGGAAAATGAGCCTATTTTCAAAAATAGTGGAGTTGTTCCTTTAAATGTCCAAATGCATTTTGAGGCCACTGTATTTTTATGCACACTACCTAATTTTCTCTGTTTTTGAATATAGAAGACAAATAATTGCAAATTTGATTTCTTTTTTTGTTTTTGTGTTTTTTAATTGAATTTGTTGCAGTGATATCTCCAGTCTGGAGGAGGAGTTAAGGAAAGTGACCGCTGCTCTAGTTGAAGAATTTCTAGAGCCTGAGAAGAACAACTTGCTTCACAGATCAGTGTAGCTTAATTTAAATAGTGGTAAGATCATTGTCTTCATGGGCATCTTATGTAAAACCAGTCCCAAAGGCCTGTCAGTGAACCGTTCTGTTAGTGTTGTTTTATCACTGTGAAATGATTTGAAGCATAATCACCTTATGGCTCTCAAACAAAAAAGTAAACATGACTGCTTATTCATTTTAGTGGTTTATATATGACAAAAAATATTGTCATGATCATTTTGTTCTTTTGCAATTGAATGTCTTGCTCAGAGAAAGAAATCCTCAAGGCTTTAACATTTTTCAAGAGTGTCACATTACTACTATAACATCTGCTGTATTAGGCCCACTTGCTATGAACCATAGCAACCAGCAGACCATGTCTACCATATTGTCTACGTAGAGTGATATTGAAATCTGGACACCAGCAAACATCGAATCGATGTTTGCTGGTGTCCAGATTTCAATATCACTCTACGTAGACAATATGGTAGACATGGTCTGACATGGTTTTTCTCAGAGGTTTTGCTGAGAGCTGCTGCTGCTACCTTTTAAAGCTCTATGAGCATGTGTATTTGTTGTGCTCTCATAAACCTGTGTCCATATTGTATTTATAACTCTATCTCTGTTGATGTTCACCCCCTTTATATAGTTATATGCATTGATAATCAGTAGGCAGGCAGGACAGCACCTTATTGCTCCCTGAATTTCTGCTGGCTTTCTCATGCTGAATACGCACAGGGTAATGAATGAAAGAATCAATGTATTATTTTTGAAGCTTTTGATTTCTGCTGTGTTTGATGGGCATATTTGACCTTTGTGGGTTATATACACAATAAATCAAAGGTTCAGTGTGCAAACAAGACAAGCAAGGCATTGCATTCTACCAATAGATACAGACAAGGAGAAGTAAGATAATCATTCACTCTTTAGCTAATTGGTAACTTAAACACCCACAAGAAAAAAAAACACCAGGGGTCCATTCGGTTCTTCGTACCTTGGCTTAATAGATCTGAGATGATTGGAAAGATGCCAGATATTCTAATCGTGATAACTGCTCTCTGGCTAATTTGGTTCTTCAAACGAATTTGCGGATTTTATTAAAATATCTGGATAAAGTTGTCTAAGATTATTGCGCGTTTTTGTGTTCCCTGGAAAGGGCTGATGTATCGATACTCGACCAGAGATGGGCACCACTCGAGTTAAGGACTCGAATCGCATTTTTATAGACTTCAGACTCGACCTGTAATGACTCCAGACTTGACTCGGCTCGAGGAAAAGTACTTGTGGATATTTTAAAAGCAACTCGAGTCTTAATCCTTATATAACTGATATTCAAAAGGCGTAACAGCAGCACCATTTTGTGAGCGGCGCGGATCACATAAAAAGCTCTCGGGGTCGTTTATGGTAAATATCTTTCAGCGCTATATAGGCTACTCTAGTATTTTTATCTACAGCCAAACGCGCTTTATTCAAGCCCTTTCAGCTTAGTGCGCTTTCTCTCTCTCCGCGGATAACACGGTTATTTTAACAACAGAAACACGGAGAGCAGCAAAATTATAGATTACTTTCACTAAAACACAGCAGAAAAAGAAACAATGCTGCAAATATAGTTATTTTTCTTACTATCTATTTATTTATCTATAACCTGTTCAAAGCATGTGACAAGTTTCTGATCTACATTTAGCGTTATTAATTTGTAGGCTAAGAACATTTCAAAAGAATCATGCCATTATAATTGGGAAATTGTTGTTAGGCTAGGATAGAACTTAAACTTTGAAACTGCTGATTATCTTTCTTTTCTGCTCAAGATGAGAACGTTTTGAGTATTGTAGACATTTTAGTAGGTAATGCTTTTAAGTAAAATATTAAAATAGTAGGCCCCCACTGGGCAAAGTTACGTCCCGTGGACGTCTTTTTGAAGTCTGCACACGTTGAAAAGACGTCCACTGAGGAGCCAGAATGAAAGTTTTTATGACGTCTTTTTTTTACGTATTCTGCCCATCCGATATAGACGTTCATGGAACCTCCGTACAAGGTTAAAAACTAGTTAAAATGTGGTCAGTGGACATTATTTTCAACATCATTTAAGGTTCATTTAGACATAATTTATACTGTTTCTGTACCAAATAAACACACTCAGTGATGCATTGGATTTAAACTCGTGTTATTTCAATGTAATTTCCATTTGTAATTGCAAAGCAACTCAAAGACACTGTGTTTGTCCAAAAATCATGGAAATAAAAGAATCTTCTCTGAAACAGTGTTGAAGTTTATGAGATAATTAAATGATCAAATAACTGATGATTGAGCATTTGGTAAAATCAACTGCAAATAAAAGACATTAAATCTCTCAAGATCTCAACAGTGGATGATTAAAGGGGTCATATGATGTTGCTAAAAAGAACATTAGTTTGTGTATTTGGTGTAATGAAATGTGTTTATGCGGTTTAAAGTAAAAAAAAAACATTATTTTCCACATACTGTACATTATTGTTTCTATTCTATGCCCAGCCTTTTTGAAACGCGTCGATTTTTACAAAGCTCATCGGTCTGAAAAAGCGAGGTGTGCTCTGATTGGCCAGATATCCAGTGCGTTGTGATTGGCCGAATACCTCAAGCGTGAGACGGAAATGTTACGCCCCTCACCATACTGTGTTGATGCCGTGTCC